ATGCTATGCCCCTTAAGCCTCTTAAAAAATATTATCCTCAATTAATTTTCGCTGAGAGACTTAAGACAACTGGACTATATAGCATCTTGAATTGCATTTGTCATTTCCTGCTTAATTATAGATGTCTCGTCTTATTTTTAGTGCCACTAAGAATTACTATCTTTGGGAGCTAATTGCTATAGAGTCAGAGTGTCGGTTATTTGTGACTCGTACAATCTATCCTGATGACTATACAACTTACATCCAAGGAATGCCACATTCCACAGTGTGCTGTGTTGGATAACAAGATCATTTTACACTGAATTCCAAGTTCTCTAAACTCCACCACTAATATATCTGGATGTGAATACCCTAATTTGTGAGCTATATAACTCCTTTGTTCCCTTGCAATAGATGTTGTATTAAAATGTCCTTCATACCCCAAAGACAGTGTTCCTTCCCTATAAAGCACCCCATTATACCCGAGAGCAGTGGAGGGCTTTTGTAGCCTCACTCAGAACTCCATTCATGGCCTCTCTAATAAAGGCCTCTTTGTAACATGCACATTAGTAGAACTCCCTAAAATCTCAGGTTCTCTGGAAGAACTCTAAAGAGAAGGAAGGGGAATGTTAGAAGATGTACTTGGCGCAAATATAAATAAAAGACTGATCAGTTCAAGATCTTTTCCCTTTGCAATAATGCCAATGAGATGAACAATCTGTGTGCCTGTTTTCATCACATTGTTCTGATGATAGCACCTCTCTTCTTTGCCTGCTTTATTAGTGTTTACCTACTTATTTTTTATACGCTCCACCTTTGGCCTTGCTTTTTCAATGCAAGAAACTTATGCATACCCAGAGACTAAAAATTTCCATAAGCTGCATCTTATCAAATAAAACATTTGTACAAATGTAAGGATTTTTGGATTTCGGAGTGAAGTTTCCTATCCCTACCTATATAACATTGCAAAGGAGATTAAGCTTGACTTTGAAAGCAAAAGCACTTCTTTTTCCTCCACTTTTGTGTAATACCTAATTTGATTATTTTGTCATTTTTGTTCTATGAAAGAAAGAAAGAAGGGGAGAAAGAGGTGAAGAGAGAGAGTGAGAGGAAGAAAGAAATCACAGTGGAGGAAAGTCAGACCAGAGATTATATTAGGCTGAGGCAAATGGTATTCACCTTTTATAGTCCCTATGTTTTATAATGAAGATACTTCATTGAAACAATGATGCATACTTCAAGGGTCCCCTGGAGAGCCGTGAATCCTGTTTGGAGAGATTCATGAATATGTGCATTAGCACAATCCAACTGGAACTTGCCCTTAAAAACGAACCACAAGAGAAGCTGATCAGTTTCTGCTTATGTATATAATCAGAAGGTTATCATATTATCTTCCTCTCCACGGGAAAAGCAGATGCGTATTTTTCTACCACCTTAAGATGAGAAATGCCAAAGGAAACAACAATTTTTCCCCCTCTGTGATGTTCATTACGTGAAACCCCATAGAGACCTTTTAATACTGGGTAAAAAGAGCAGAAAATGAATAGAGGCTCAATTTTTCAAAATGAACTTCAGTTTTTGCATAAGATGAATTGTAGAACAAGCCTTCAAAATACACACTTCTGCTTTCATTTGCTGAAGGGCATTAATAAACCCGCCTCGAGTTCAACTATTGCTAGAAATTGCATGTATGAGCCGTCTGTTTCAGAGTCAAAGCTCACAGAAGGGTACAGGAACCTCCATGTCTTAAAGATGAATCAGGGGCACATGGCAGATTTTGAAGTAATAGTTTATTTAAAGTACAAAGAATTCCATGAAAAATATTTCTAGCCAGCAGTTGGGGACCAAATTTCACTAAAAATGGCAAACCACCGCTAAGTTAGCCACAGTGATGAAGAGTATCCAGGTATATTTGTAGATTTATCTTTAGTTTTTTTAGACTACTAAAAAGCGGGGGGGGGGGAGCCTCCAAATCTTGACCATCCTGTGGAAAGAAGAGAGAAAAATTGTTGTTGCCTGAGTACTGAATGTTGTTCAACTATCATCTTCTGTGAAGTGCAGAGCACACCCATCATTTGCAAATGTAAATAAATTCGAAGTTTTTTTTTTTTTTCTTTCCCATTTGGGGAAAAAAATATTCCTTAGAAAAGACCTCATGTAATTTGTGATGCATAGTTAATTCTCACTTGAAGTCCTGTGCTCTAAATTCGGCCCGTGTCAGGGTTTGCAGCACGTCGTGCAAACATAGAGGACAGTGATAATTGTCTCAAAAAGAAGAGTACAATTCTATTAATGTGAAAAACTACTTAATTCCTGTCTGGAGATTTCTTTTTTAACTTGTCGGTTAGTCATTACTTAGGCATCTGGTAATGAATTGCCAGAAATTGTTTCAATTTATCATTTCTAGTCCCTGTGTTCATGGAGAAAACGGTCTTTGAACTTGTCCAGTATTGTTCTCAAACCTCTGGATTCAGAGCTTCCTGGACATCTTAGGCTCTCCACGATTTGAGAGTCTGCACCATTCTCAGTACGCAGCACAGGGCCAAGGGAACATTGTTAATTTGAGAGGGTACAATGGTGTAGTCATGCATTTAAATTATTTCTAACTTTTCACCAGAAGTCGTATTCATGTTTTGGAAAATTAGTACTTAGCCAAGCTCCGAGGAAGAAAGCATTTTATTTAGTAATAGTTCAAATAATGCAGTAAAAATGTCTCTCTATGCATTTGAACTGGCCCTGGTGGCCTGATTCAGTATTTTGCCCATTTTCTTGGCTTTTCGAGCTTCACACACACACAAAAAGAAATTGTACAAAACACTTAGCACTATTTTTTTTTCCATAGCTGGTAACGGGGCTTTCGCTGCACAAAGGCAAGGAGAGATTATTTGGAAAGGTGAGCAGGTTTTTAGAAACACTGAAAAACTCTCCTCTTATGTTCTAGGCTCCGCTTTCTGAGTCTTTCCTGCATGGTTTACATCATCTAGTCACTAGAATCCCTGGAAGGATTAGGCTTTCTAATGTTAAAGGATGGATGTGATCATCCACAATGTCCTTAAAAAAACCCAAATTTCATAAAAAATGATGTCAAGAGAAAGACTGCTATGTACTGACAGTTTTCTTATTTTTTGTGCTTATGCATATAAAATCTCTGTGCGCCCACCTCTCTATTCCCAAATTGCCTCAGAATCCACGAACGTGGCACAGAGAATGTGGCTTGGAGCTCTTTTTGCACCTAGGTCCTATCATAGGATCTGAGAAGTTTTATCTTGTGCAAAAAAAAAAAAAAAAAAAAAAAAAGGCAGTTTTCACCAGCGACACAGCCATCTGTTTAGTGAAAACAGAGCTTGCTAGTGAATTGCAGCTTGTGTGTGTGTGTGTGTGTGTGTGTGTGTGTGTGTAGGCGAGGTGGTGGTGAGGGAGTAGGAGGTCAAAGGGTAAATTCCAATTGCTGTGACATATTTTTATGAGCTGAATCATACCCAGCTTTTAGCCTTGAAAGGGGAAGAGGATCTTAGAAAGGGAAGTAACATGAATGGGCAGGTCAGGAAAATCCTCCAGAAGTGCTCCTCCAAATTAGCCGTTAATTGCTCCCCAACCTGCCATCCTCTTGCGTCTGAATTTGATTTCATTGTCCCAACAACTTGAAAAGATCCGTGTCCTCTTGAGTGGATCCCGGGAAAATTTGGGCGGCCAGAGACGAAGTTATGTTGGAGAATTTCCTTCCCTTTTTATACCTCTGGTATTTTTTTCTCCTCGTTGGAGGGGTGAGGGGTGAAGCATCCTTGAGAGTCCGCGGGGAGGAGGGGACGGTGCGGGGACTCGGTCCCAGCCCGGGGCTGACAAAGCGGAGCCGCGGCGGAGGGGACTGGGGGGGGGGGGCGGGCCCAGGCTCCGAGCTTTGTTCCAGCCTCAGCCTCCCCACCCGGCCCTCGCTCTCGGCAAATGTGGACGCTATTTTCTGCTTTTTACAGGAGGTGCTCCAGGAGGAAAAGAAAAAAGAAAGAAAAAAAAGAAAGAAAAAGAAAGAAAGCGGGGGGTGGGGTGGGGTGGGAGGCGGAGGCCGAAAATTGGGCCGCGCGTCCGGGGGCGTCGGGGTCGGGGTCCCCGCGGCCAGGGCCCGAGGGCTGCAGGGGCGGGGGGGGGGGTGAGCCAGCACATTCCAGGCGTTCCTGCGCCCGCGGGCCTCGGCGTCAGCTGAGCGCGGCCCCTCCCGGGAGGCCCGGGCCCCGCGGAGCCGGAGCTGCGGGCCTGGGGCGGGGGTGGGGGTGGGGGTCCCCGCGGGCCCCGGGCCTGCGCCTCTGCCGCGGCGACTCCCCCCCGCCGGCTCCCGCAGCCCGGGCTGCAGAGGCGCCGGCCGAGGCCTGCAGGCACAGGGGCCCCCGGGGCCACCTGGGTGCCTCGAGACGGCAGGACGACCCTTTCTGTTGCAAGAGGCACAGACATGAGCTGCACCTGGAATGAAGTTATGGGCCAGGGAGGGCGGGGTGGGGGGGGGGAAGGGGCGCAGGGCGTCCGAGCCGGCTCCAGCTCCGGCTCCGGCTCCGGCTCCAGCTCCAGCTCCAGCTCCAGCTCCAGCTCCAGCTCGACGGGCGGGGCAGCCTCCCCCCCCTCCCCGGGCAGGCCGGGCGCTGTCCACCTGCTTCTCACTTGTGAAAATCACACGGGGCAAGGTTATATGTGACACACATCGGTAGATTATTATTATTTTTTTCCCCATGGTTTTGGAAGTCAGGGTGAGTGGAAGCATGCCAGTTTATTTTCCTTATTTACATGGACTAAAAAAAGAAGAAGAAAAAAATCAATAGACCTTTTTTGGTATGGATTTCTGTCTTCTGTTACACACTCCAGGAAAACTAATTGTGCATTTCTTTGGCACTTAGAGCCCATCTGTCTGCCTCGCTGAAGCCCACCCCATAGATGATCAGTAGAGGCTCCCTAAAAGTTGAAGAGGTTTCACGCGTGTGCACTTTAGCTCCGCCACGTGATGGTGTATTTCTTCACACACTGGAGCACTTGCCCCTCCAAGATCTCAGGTCACGCACGTGATGGACAATTAGAGGAATTTATTCTGGATTTTGAAGTAGAAGCTCCTTAACGGCAAAACTGGGGACTTCGCCATAGTCTGGAGGCTACCAGCCTCACGATGAGCCTCCAGTAGGTGCATTTCCTTTTGGAAAGTACAAATAAGCCAAACTCCAAATTTCAACTTGTATGCTTATGGTAATTGGTCTCAACTATGTGGAGAAATGAGATTTTTTTTCTTTTTCTTTTTAAGGGCGTGAAAGAACTTCGTGCCTTCAATCAGTAGATGTAATTATTTGATGCAGTGACAAAGGTATATACAAGTATAGAATTGTGTATTTTGAAATGTTTATATGCATTACATTTTATTTTTTGATTTTTTGAAATGGAGTGGAACAATTACAAGAAAGATCACATTTGTCGTGTAAATGAATGTGCCCGAAATATTCATTTGTATTAGAAAAACAATTATGCTACATTTTGCCAAACTGTTTTACACGAATTTCAACAACATGATGTAGCATTTTACAAATACCCAACAAGACTTTTCTTAAGGACGACTCAGAGAAATGACTCTCAGAATACTGTTTTTCCCTGTGAAACTGAAGGAATTTTTCTAACAAATGATAGGTGAGGTTACATGAAAACTAACATTCCATTAAGAATATTCTTTAAGAAGCTTTCAGAAGAGAAAGAACGATGAAGCATTAATATTTCTGTGGTGAGCTGAGCAAATAGAATTTTTATGTCTGATATCATTTGGAACTTTGTATTTTTATAGTGTGATTCTAGGATTTTGATATATTTTTTTGCTGTGTCCCTTAATGTGTATCTGGAGGTTTGTTCTTCATTGGCTCTTTTAACTAGAGAAAAATCAATGACTTCTTCATTCATAGGCTGATCCCTGATTTGTTTGCTATATTATTGTTATCACTGATCTTTTCTAGACACGGTGATAGTGCATGGAATTTATGTTTCAGTATTTTTATGAAATAGCATAAAATGAGAAACAGGTTTCGCATAATGAAAACAAACTTTTGCATCACATAGTTTCTAAAAAGTGTCATTTAAAATGTACACTAAAATTACATTTTATTTCTTTATAGTCAAACAAAAGCTCTCTGAATGGAGTCAGGGATTCCTTGGGCTTTGTCTAAATTCAAAGTGCCCTCTACTGTCAAAAACGTGTACTGCTCACAAAGAGAACACTTGACGAGTCTGAAATCCAAATCTAGACAGTGAGAGACAGATGGAAGAAAACCAGGATAGGTAAGGGCACTGCCTTTCAGCCCCAGGGCAATTCAGTTTGGAATGTTCCATCAGTGAATAGTTATGCTGCCATTCCAAGTTAAAAGTTACATGTAAATCATTTGTAATTTTTGCAACTGTTGCTTCATGCTTCTTTTCTTTTTTCTTCCCTTTGGTTTTTAAACCGGAAATTTCACTTTGGTGCCACTGTATGTCTTCCTATTGTGATCCGAACCATGCGTGTTATGTCTGCGAGACTATACTTTAATAAACCACACACATCCCGTTATCTTCATTTTACCCCGGAGGAACATTACTTAGAGTTTCTTTTCATATTTTTCTATGTTATGGTATTTTCATCTTTATTATGGGTTATGTATACTTAAAAAGGCAAAATATTTATCATCCCTCTGACAGAATCAAGCTAAGTAATCAGTTGAACCAGACTCTTAAAAATATCATGCAAACAAATAAAGGGCTGCCTATTTTGTTCCCTCTTAAGAAGGTGTTTAAACATTATCAAGACAGTCGTAGCATGCTCGGTGTGTTTGTGTAAGCTTATTATAATCTTTCAATTAAATTCAGTGACCCAAAGAAAATTTTGCCATAAGAAATTCAGGCTATTCCATAATGTTAAGTTGTGTTTTATAATGTACTGCAAAGCAGTGGAACTTGAGGTATGTGATAGATACAGGTGAAAATTCTAGAAATCATTACTGAGATGCTTTATTAAAGCTACAGACGGTGTGGCAGTATATTCAAAAGAGAGTGTTCTGATTGACTATATCTATTTTTATAAAATCAATAATTTGAAGTGAAATGAAAGAGGCACTGATGCAATTGAGAGACGGGAAAGCTCATAATTTAAGTGGCCGGTATGTCTAACAGGTCTTGGTTAACTAGCTGTTTGCAATATTTGGTCTGTATTTCAAGCGAAAGCAGACTAGAGAATTAGATCATGTGGAGGAAGATTTTATATAAAAATCAAGGGCTATCGCTTTTCTGCCGAGTAAGGGTAGAAATAGTTTTTCAGTTAATGAACCACACTAGGGACTTCAGGAGCTACCGTTGGTGGAGAAAGCCAGAGAGCTTCCATGGAGTGGGCCTCAGGCCACCGCCCCATTTCCAGTGTGTTCTTTCTCTGTGCCTCTCATCTGGTTGGCTTCTGACTCTGCCACATGCCCGATGTCCATGCTGTGTTCTGTGTCTGAGAAGGACATTCAGATAACACTTAACACCGATACTCTCCTGGTGTGAAAGGTCATATCTATCAGGAGTATTTGTGTGCCACAAACAAACAAGTGAGTGAACAACTAAGCCAACACATGAACGGGAGAGAGAGGCGAAACTTATCCCCAACAAGTGATTCTCTGATGGTAGAATTTAGAGGTGATTTGGAGAAGGAGAAGTACTTCAGGGTGAATCTCTTAGCCCGAGTGCATACTTGAAACGTGACTTTTGTGGAATCACCAATTCTCTTGATTAGTGCTGTTATTTTCCACTCCTTGGAAAAGAATGGCTTCTGTAATACTGATCCTAAATTCCATAAAATCATGCCCACCTAAAAAAAAAAAAAAAAAAGTCTAGTACTACGATATACTAGATGACCAACTAAATGTTGTATGCTTCTATTTCCCTTTCTTTTTAGAATCAACTCTTTTCTTCTGAATTCAACTTGAGATAATCTAATTTCTAGATAACCTAATCTCAACTGATTAATAATGGATCCCTTTTCTTTGGCATAAGTACTGTTTGTCCTTGTGAGTCAGTTTGGGAAAACTTTAAATCAACGGGTTGACATCCTTTAGCCAGTGACGAGCAAAGTTCGACCCATGGAACTCTTTCTTCCAGCAAAATGAATCTTGAGGTAAATGCTACAAAGAGAAACAAGCAAACATTGGCTCCCCGAAGAGATTGCTCTTTATTTCCTACTTGGAACCTGAAAGTTGTTCCTTTTCTTTCTTTTTGGCCTGGTTATCCAACTGTTCCAAAGCTTCTGTGGGCTGTGCAACAGCCTCCTGATGAATTCCATTTCTCTGCAAGGTAGCCAGCCGGTCACTTTCTTTTGTTTGTAACCAAATAAATCTAATGGACATAGTCATGTCTTTCTCAGTGAGTAACTCATAGATTCATAAGTGATAGGCACAGTAAGTTCACAGACTTTCATTTCATGATCTGGAAGCTTGCTGGAATGGGGGGCTTGGCCAGTGCCACATAGAATGCATGTGCAAGAGACTGAGACTCAGTCCCAAGCCTCCTGACAGCCGCAGCATTATATTGAAGCACTGATGAATCACTTCCGCTTTCATGATCTGTTGGATTTTACATATGGCTTTGTTGACAGAAATTCTTATCTTTCACATCCTTACGATCCGATGCTGAGAACATTGGTTTGGATACAAAAGTAAAGAATGGAAATTGGACAATTTTAGGAAGTGAGAAATTATGACAAATTGAAGTATTTGTAGTACATGTAGGGCTCTAAAGTTACACAGTTTAGTACAAGGATTATCTTCCCTAAAAAAAAAAAAAAAGTGAAATCTAGTATATTTAAACAGTGGAAGGGACATGTTTGGATTGCATATGTTTATGTAACTGTATCAATAAAACTGTCTATCTCCAATTTGATAAGGTGCACAACGAACCCCTTCTCTTTTTCTTATGAGAATTGTTGCAGAGAGAAGGAAATATAAATTGTGGAAAATTGTCTTTCTTTAACACATCAGTAGTGACAAAGCATGCCACAATCATTTAATAAAGGGATTATTGTGGACTTTTTTCATTCCTGGGAACCAACAGAAAAATCTCAAGGGACAGATCATTAAATCTTCTTCCTCAGTGTTAACTTGGACAACAGCTCAGGAGATATCTCTGAGGGTGCAAGGCACTTATTAGAAGCATGTTTAGGAATCTCTGACTGTTTTTCAAAAACCACTTCTGCAGCAAACAACAGGATAGTTACCAAGCATTTCTGGAAAGCATGTATAACTGAGGAAATTCAATTCATTAGAAATATGATAAATTATAAATGGTAAAGGCTGAAAAAGGGTAAGTTGTGGGGGAAATATAAATTAAATATGAGAAGTATAATGTAACCATGAGAGATCACTTGGTATATATTACTTTACTATATTTTATATTATACTTTTTGAGATAAAGCAATTTACTACAGTATTATTTTATGCTTCACTTACTTTATAGGGGATAAAGCAAAGCAAAAATCCAGAAACAGAAATGTACAAAGTGTGTTTTTCTCTTACTGCTATTTTTTACATTATTAAATATTCTCATTCATAACATAGAACATATTTATGGATCCTTCATCAGCTATAATTAATTCCCATTACTTTTTTCTTCCTGAAAGGGATTATTACTAAAACCATGATTTTTTTTCTCCCAAATCTTTATGTCTCCTTGACCCAGCACTTTACGTTTTTTTTCTTCTAATGGATTTAAAGTAATAAATACAGTGTCTTTCATTTGTGTACCAATTCAGACTTAGTAAGTATTTTATAGTCAAACTTTTATTTGCCTCTCCTAAGGGCTCTCTTTCATAGTTGGCAGGCACTTTACTGCATGGTAATTTATTTGTTTGACTTTTTAAAAAATAAGTTTCCATGATTAGCTCAAGATAACCCCTATATTAGGAGATTAAAATAGGTTTAAAGTTCAGATCTTGGGAATCACAGCTGGGCACGCATTTTTTCACTCTTGTATTAAATCACTCATCTATGTACTTATGTATTTTTCTGCAAGTATTTGTTGAACACCTACTTATATGAGATACTCGGGGCACCTGGGTGCCTCAGTGGTGGGGCATCTGCCTTTGGATTAGGGCATAATCCCCAGGTTTTAGGATTGAGGGTCCTGGAATCGAATCCCACAGTCCCCTAGGTCCTCTCTGCATGGAACCTGCTTCTCCCTCTGCCTGTGTCTCTGCCTCTCTCTTTGTGTCTCTCATGAATAAATAAATGAAATCTTAAAAAAAAAAAAAAGAAGATATTCTCCCGAACATGGGACATTGCTGCGTTCAGCCTGAATCAGCTTTCCTTTACTAGGGGTAAG